TATATATACACACACATATATATACACACACATATATACACACACACGTATATATACATATACATACACACACACACATATATATATACATATACATACACACACACACATATATATACATATACATATACACACACACATATATACACACATATACACACACACACATATATACACACACATATACACACACACACGTATATATACATATACATACACACACACACATATATATATACATATACATATACACACACACATATATATACATACACATATAGATACACACAATATATTTTATATTCTCCTGCAGCTGTGGGCTGCACACAGGTGCAGCAGGTGCTAAATAATTTTAAACAATTTATTTTAAAGAAAAATTCCATACTGATCATGTGGCTCATCCATCAATCAGCTGTTGTGTGTCATGTCCAGTCTTACTTTGAAAAACAGAGATAGAGCGAGTCTATGAAAAACAAACCACGAAGTAGCGAGAAACTACTGTATATATATATATGTTTTAAAGTAATTTAGATAGCTTTGCTTTCTCTGCTCCTTTTCTGTCATGGCAATTAGTAAAAAGCAAAAACAAACAAACAAAAAATAATACTAAGCACTTGTTTGCCACCTAGTACTTGTATTTGTTTAAGACCCGTTTACTGTGAAGGTTCAGTGTGAAAACATACACTCTTATACAAACAACTTTATCTAATTAGAATTACATGAAATACTGTAAGAGAATGTACTACTGAGATGACTAAATGTATTTGAATGGATCTGTTTTGGGCAAAATTTGTATTTTTTGTCAACAAGCAGCATCAACAAGTCGCTGAGGGATTTGAATAGTGAATGTTTGTAGTTGTTGAGATGAGTGTTTTTCTGGGCTGGAATTCAACAGGAAATTCAAGTAAACTTTAATGATTTTGGTGTGAGATATTCAAGTGGGTAGAAGCTACACTGTATAACTTGTTTGTTTTTCTTGTCCCAGGCAGCACAGAGTGATGGATCCTGGCAAGTGAAGGGAGCAATTTTATGCAGTGGAGGAGCCAGGGGGTGGCCAATGGGGGCTTTGGCCTCCAAAGATTAATCTTCAGCCACCTCAATCATATGACAGAACTATACTTTTAAGCAATATAAAAACTAGAAAGCATAGTTTCCTCAAATGATTGGGGGTGGCTGTTTTATATATATGGTGGTGGCCATCTTGGATTTTGATGTGGCAACCCAATTATCGAAAGGAGCCTTTTTTCTGCCTCGATGCAGCCACACACCTAAATGGAAGTCAGTACCTCTCTTGTTTTTCAAGTTATCACACTCAAAACATGCTTGCATGGACAGAGGGAGATTATTTCCAATTCCCCCCTTTTTGCTCCACATCAGGACAAAAAAGGAGGTTTTTGTAGCTAAAGGCTAAGAACTATCTGTAACAGTGCTGGTGCGGTGGAAATATATTGAAACTATTATAAACTACAAAATAATAAATGAAACAAGTTTAGCACATTAAAGTGCAGTTTAACATTAATGTTTTTTAACATACAGAACCGTGTCAGTTTGGTTAGCCTGCAACTCCTTAATATCATGCCTAAAATGCACGTGGCAGAAAAGGCTTTAAGGTCTGATTGATCAAATATTAAAATACAAAACACCACTGTGTTTATCCACAGGTAACTGTGTGACTTCTCACCTCTGCCCTTCTTGCAGCTTGCCTCGGACACACACATGGAGAGTGAAGTATTGTCTAGCTCCTCTCCGGTTTGGCTCTCCCAGTCCTCCGGAGGCCGTCCCAGTCCAGTGGGGCCTTCCTGGGGCTCAGACTCCTCTGGAGGACTGCTGGTCCCTGATGCGATGGCTGTGGTTACATCCTGAGTGGAGCTGCTTTCTGACATCGAGGCATCCATCGCTGCAGCATAGCCTGCCATCAGAGCCAGCTCATCGTCCTGAGACAAGGGGGTCTGGTGGACACGGGGGTGGGGGTTACAGATTCTCATTTCATAAACAGTTTGTATTTGAGCCACGTTTTCCTTGGCAAAACCTCCAAGAGCTGCATGGCTTCAGTTAAAATCAAACACTTGACACTGATCAAACCTCAGGTTTTAAAAAGGTTTCTACTTTCTAACCTCATTATATTAAAACTCAAAAGTGAAGCAGTCAACAGAACGGTACAACGAAGAAACGAGGAACTTACTTTGGCGATGCCTGAGATGATGATGGTGCTCTTCTTCACGGGGGATTTGAGCTTCTGCTTGGCAGACTGGTGGAGTTGTCTGATTGCTGCTTCAGCGACTGGGTCGGTGCCGTTGAGAATGAGCAGCTCTGTGTCGGAGGAGGACAAAGCCTTGCTCACAGCGCCCCCCAGCATGGACACTTGTTCTGAAACCCGGCGCTCAGCCAGCTTGGGCTTGCTGTCCACTGGCTTCAGGGCTGGATCTGAGGAATCACAACACGCCTCAGTATATATTCAGATGCGTGTCATCAGAGTCCATTTGTGCTGAAATGACTGATCGGTAGTAAAATACAAGCGTCAAAAGTATTCATTAGGATGAGAAAATGTAAACCTGCGTCAACATAAATTAGATGAAATGTAACAGGTTAAACTCTTTGAACTTTTCCACATTTTGTTACGTTACAACCGCTACGTTCAAAGTATTCTCCTGGGGTTTCACGTGATACTCAACACAAAGTAGCACAAAATTGTGAAGCGGAAGGAAAATGATACTTGGTTCAATATTGTTTTTATTAATTTAAATCAGAATAAGGTACGTTGTGCATTTATATTCAGCCTCCTTGGCTCCGACACCTTTACCTAAAATCCAGAGCGACCAGTAGAGTCATCCAACAATAAACAGTCTAGCTGTGTGTAATTTATTCTCAGTATAAATCCAGCTGTTCTGTGAAGGCTCCAGAGGTGTTACAGAACATTAGTGCTCCAACAGCATCATGAAGACAAAGGAACACACCGGGCAGGACAGGTATACCGTTGATAAGTTTAAAGCAGGGTTAGGTTAAACAACAATATCCCAAGCGTTGAACTTTTCACAGAGCTCTGTTCAGTTCATCATCTGAAAATGGAAAGAGTTCAAAACAACTGCAAACCTTCCAAGACATGACCTTTCACCTAAACTGACAGGCCGGGCCGGAGATGATTAATCGAGGAAAGCATGACAACTTTGTAGAAGCTGCAGAGATCCACAGCTCAGGTAGGAAAAACCTGTCCACAGGACAACTATTAGTTGTACGCTCCGTGGATCTGGTCTTCATGGAAGAGTGGCATGAAGTGAGTCAGTGTTTAAAGAAAGTCATAAAGTCCTGTTTTCAGTTGGCCACAAATTGTAGAAGACAGGATACATAAAGAAGATGCTCTGCTCAGACCAGACCTAAACTTTGTGCTTGAATGTCAAACACTATGCGAGGGTTAAAACCAACATCGTGCTCCACCTTAAACACACCATCTCTGTGTTGGGATGCTTTTCTTCAGCAGGGAAGCTGGTCAGAGGTGATGGGAAGATGGATGGAGTGAAACACAGGACAGTCCTCGAAGAGAACACGAGGCTGTAAAAGACTGGACACGAGAAGAGGTCGACCTTCCTGCTGAAGAACAACAACACATCAGCCAGCGCTACCGTGGAATGGGTTAAAAGTTCAGCTGAGGTATAAAACTGGTAGAGACAAGCCCCAAAAGACCTGCAGCTGCAACTGAAGTGAAGTTGTGAAGATCCGTGGTTGTAACATGACAAAGTTTGGAAAAGTTCAAGGACGTAGGGTTTAAACTGGCATCTGAAGGCACTGCCCATACAACAAGGAAAACCAGCCTGGTATTTCTTTGGACTTCAGACGTTGAAATGATCTTACATGACGTTCATGTCTGTAATTCTTTAGACCAGAATAGAAACATAAAGTTAAACCATCTTTGACTTCATTCAAATTCAACTTTGAAAAGTTACTAAATTCAACTAACAGATCAGTTATGACCAACTATTCATGGTCAAACTGCAGGTGAGAAAATGTAAGACATTTTGCCGTGACTATTTTAAATCGTTAAACTTTTTTTTCAAGGATTACCGAGTGTTTTACAACCATGTCCAAAATACAACCACACAAAACGGGGAAAATTGGACTCAACTGAACGTCGCCTGAAGAACTGAAGATCGGCATTGAAGGAGTTGTAGTTGTTTTTAACCGAAACGAGTCAAAGACGTCTCGATAAGCCTCAAGGAATCGTGTCAACTTGTAAAAAAGAGGTATAAAAATATGTTTAATGTCTGAGAAGAAAAGCAGGGGCTCCTCTTGTGCTTCCTTTTTACGTATAAAAGCTTTGCAGGTGCTTTGCACTGAACCTTCAAAAGAACATTCTGTGGATTCATCACCAGACTGAGCTCAACGTACGGCTTTTCCAAAAAACAACCCTCAAGAGTACAGCATTATACGCCCGTCAACAAAATATTATATACCAATGCAGTAAACTGTAGCAACGGCCCAAACAAAAAAATACTTTGAATAACATTTAACCTTGATTGGCGACCTTGACCTTGGAGTTAGGATGAAAAGTGTATGCAACGCTATGTATATTGATGATGTGTGTACTACGATGTGGTAAATTATCTTGAGCGGGTCTGAAGTTATGGTCCAGAAAAGAAAAAGTATACAAACGTACGTACAAAGACTTTCACCAGATGTATGAACAAGTTTGTCATTTTGGACATTTTTAGATTATGACATATCTCACATATTATGACATATATCTCACAGATTATGACATATATCTCAGATTATGACATATATCTAATAGATTATGACATATCTCACAGATTATGACATATCTCACAGATTATGACATATATCTCACAGATTATGACATATATCTCACAGATTATGACATATATCTCAGATTATGACATATCTAATAGATTATGACATATATCACAGATTATGAAATATCTCACAGATTATGACATATATCTCACAGATTATGACATATATCTCACAGATTATGACATATATCTCACAGATTATGACATATATCTAATAGATTATGACATATATCTCACAGATTATGACATAT